TTTGAAAGTTTAGTGATAAACCATTCTCTTAGAAAGTTACGTGGCAAAACTTGATTGATTCCAAGTGTCCTTCCAGTGTAAGAACTTATTGAAGCTAATAGACTTAATGTGTTGTGAACATAGCCTTTGTTTTAGCTTTAAGCAATGTCTACCTCACCAAACTGTAACTGAGCATTTAATGGAATTGTTGGCACATGAGTGCTTCTTACATTGCTTGTCAATAGCAATATCTTCTCTTTTTCCTAGGCGTGTGCTCGTCCACTGATATCCGTGTACTCTGAAAAGGGGGAAACATCTGGCAAAAATGTCACTTTACCTGCTGTGTTCAAGGCTCCCATTCGACCAGATATTGTGAACTTCGTTCACACCAATTTGCGCAAAAACAATAGACAGCCCTATGCTGTCAGTGAACTGGCAGGTATGAACTTAGATCTTTCATGGGTTGATACTTTAAGAGCTGCTTAACAGCAGTGATGAAATTCCACTCCATTGGTCCGTGTTTCTGAATCAGATGATTTTCCTGGATGTTCTGATGCTGTTTGCTATCATGCATAGTAGTCACAGTGCTATGGTTGTATAGCTAAAACTTTTCTCTTTCCCAATTTCAGGTCATCAGACCAGTGCCGAGTCTTGGGGTACTGGCAGAGCTGTGGCTCGAATTCCCAGAGTCCGAGGTGGTGGAACTCATCGTTCTGGCCAGGGTGCTTTTGGAAATGTATCTTTTGTGGTCACTACCTAGACTGATCAGCCGTCATGGAATTTAGCAGACTGGGCCTGGTTTGTTTGTGTTAGTGGTTTGAAAATATTTTTGTCCAGAATACAAATAGTGTCCAGGTAACTCTAGACAGATCTGGAATCTGGTAGATTTTTTGTTAAATACTAAAGACAATAAGGGCTTGACATTGGAAAGTTTTACTTGCAATGATGTCGTAATTTGCGTCTTACTCTGTTCTCGGCGACAGTTGCCTGCTGTCAGTAAGCTGGTTCAGAAGGGTGACGAAAATTCTTACTGAGCGAGACATAACATAACCTTTTTTCCCCCTGACATTTGAGAAATGTGATTCTTAACTGGGAAAAATAGATGTGTCGTGGGGGCCGCATGTTTGCACCAACCAAAACCTGGCGCCGTTGGCACCGCAGGGTGAACACAACACAGAAACGATATGCCATTTGCTCTGCCTTGGCTGCTTCTGCCTTACCAGCACTGGTCATGTCTAAAGGTTCGTGATACTTTGTGTTGTAGGACTGATAACAAAATGCCCATTTTTTCCTTCCTTCACCTGAACCCTTTTCATTGTGTTAATAACATGTAAATTCTGTTCATCCCAGAGTGCATGACTAAATTTCCTTCTATTAAATACTAATTCTGACTGTTTTCCTCTAACAAATCAGTCATCAGTGAATGCTGTATAACTGGGGAGGTACATTTAGCATATTAGAAAATTTCCCATCATGTTGCCAATTCTTCTAACTGTCAAAATGATGAGATTCCACTTCATTGGTCCGTGTTACTGAAACACATGATATTTGTGGAAGTTCTGATTTGGCAAATTGTGTACCATTTTGCTTTTGTGGATTATATGAAGTGCTTAATTTTTCAAAAGGTTCAGGGTAACCAGGTCTATGTTAATTGGCTTTGTCAGGTCATCGTATTGAGGAAGTTCCTGAACTTCCTTTGGTGGTTGAAAATAAAGTTGAAGGCTACAAGAAAACCAAGGAGGCTGTTTTGCTTCTTAAGAAACTTAAGGCCTGGAATGACATTAAAAAGGTAGGTTTGATGAACACATTTACAGTTTTTGGTAGCCCTCACAAATGTGTCAGAACTTTTTTTCAAAAGATTGCTCAAGGAGGCAGTATTAACATCTTGGATGTGAAAGCAAGGACTCTGGAACCATATTATAGTCATGTACCACTTAACAGGGATACTGTTTGAGAAGTGCGTTGTTAGGTGATTTTGTGGTTATGCAACTATAAGAGTACTCACATAAACCTACATGGTATGTATCCTACTGATTACACACTTAGACTTGTAGTGTACCACTGTCTATGTATGATTTATCATTGATGGAAATGTTATGCAGTGGATAACAATACTTGAGTGGATTGTGACTGCCATTTTTATAGCTGTGTTTTAATGTTAGGGAAGTCATTTTAATCTGTTTTATTTCTAAAATGGGGCTTTGTAACTATGAATATCTACTACTGGAATCATCTTAATCAGAATACTAAACCTTCTCGCTTTGTAGGTCTATGCCTCACAGCGAATGAGAGCTGGCAAGGGCAAAATGAGAAACCGTCGTCGTATCCAGCGCAGGGGTCCTTGCATCATCTATAATGAGGACAACGGTATCATCAAAGCCTTCAGAAACATCCCTGGTAATTCTTGTGTTGCCTACGTGTTTTGATTGCCCATGCTCTGCATGCTTACTCAGCTTTTATTATGATGAGATTCCACTTATGGTCCGTGTTTCTGAAACACATGATTTTGTGGAATATCTGATTCTTGGCTGAATGAGTGCACCATTAATGGTTGAAACTTCATAACTGATGATAGCTCTCAGGTATATTATGTAGCCCGTAAGCCATAAAGATGATTTGCATTTCTTCTGTTGAAATACACCCTCCCTAATTCTCCTTTCCCTTTAAAAGGAATTACTCTGCTTAATGTAAGCAAACTGAACATTTTGAAACTTGCTCCTGGTGGGCATGTGGGCCGTTTCTGCATTTGGACTGAAAGTGCTTTCCGCAAGTTAGATGAGCTGTATGGCACATGGCGTAAAGCTGCCTCTCTCAAGAGTAACTACAAGTGAGTGTTCTTACATTCATATACTGAACACTGATGTTTATACTACGGATATTTACATTCAGAATTGGTTTTCGTGTTTTCTAAATAATGGATTGTGTTGCTATTTCCCCTCGTACAGATGCAATATGCTGAAATGGTGAGATACTCTGAGAAGTGATAGTGTAGTTGGAAATTTTAGTTGAATTCTGGAAAGCTTTAAATTGTTAAAATTTTATCTTCTGTTGAGGTACATGTTAAACACATGAGAAATAAGAATTGGGCTTCTATTTTCAACATTTTGTTGGTTTTTCTTTCAGCCTTCCCATGCACAAGATGCTCAATACAGACCTTAGCAGAATCTTGAAAAGCCCAGAGATCCAAAGAGCCCTCCGAGCACCACGGTAAAGTTGTGATATTTATAGTAATTCTTGCCCCAGCCTCATTATAATTGGTTAAAATGTTAAGATAGAATCTACCTTTTTATAGCAAGAAGATTCATCGCAGAGTCCTGAAGAAGAATCCACTGAAAAACCTGAGAATCATGTTGAAGCTAAACCCATATGCAAAGACCATGCGCCGGAACACCATTCTTCGCCAGGCCAAAAACGTAAATAATGATACGGCTTTTGCAGATATGATGATTTTTTAGAAAATTTGATTCTTAGATTTTCTTCCTAATTTGTTGCAGCACAAGCTCCGGGTGAATAAAGCAGCAGCAGCAGCGCAAAAAGCCAAATCAGATGAGAAGGGGGCTCCAGGCAAGAAGCCTGTGGTAGGGAAGAAAGGAAAGAAGGCTGTTGGCGTTAGGAAGCAGAAGAAGCCTTTGGTGGGAAAAAAGGCTGCAGCTACCAAGAAACCAGCAGCTGAGAAGAAACCTGCAGAAAAAAAACCCACCACAGAAGAAAAGAAGCCTGTGGCATAAACTTAAATTTGTTTATTCCATAAAAGTCAAATCACTTTGGTTTGGACAGCTAATTTTGAATAAAAAAGTGATCAAAGGCAGTGAGAAACATGACTTGTTGCGTGTGTTGTGTGAATCTTGATTAGAATTTTTTTGATGACACTTTCTCCATGACTTCAGCCTTTCACTTGTTATAGTCTGGTCTAAAATGGAGCATTGGCTTTATACAAAATCCATGCTGTTGAATGGAAGGAGGGATGCTCCATAAATCCAGCTATAAAATCTACTTTGTCAGTAATAAAATCTACTTTGTAAGTAATGTTCTTGAGAAAGATGGTTAAAAGACTTGTCTCAGAAATACAGAAGCTGTTAGAATTTGCCGCCGC